ATATGCCCACCATTGAATATGTAAGTTTCTTTAGTACATATTTACATATTTATATTATTTAAAGCCTTAGACACATGTAGAAACATGTAAAATATATTTTTGTTCTTTACTTTTAATTAGCTTTATGGTCCACCAGGACCACCCGGTCCAATGGGTCCTCCTGGTCAACCAGGCAAACATGGAGAGCGCGGCATGGATGGTCGCAAAGGTGATACGGTAAGTTTATCAAACAGAAGAGAAAATTTAACTGATTAGTGATATATATTTTTGACATAAATTTTGTAACACTTTCAGGGAGAGAAAGGCCAAAAAGGTGACCAGGGACCAATGGGTTTACCGGTAAGTCTAAATCAGTCATTAAGAATTAAAAAGAGCATTGTTACCGGGCTATCATTTTATATTCCTTTATATACTTGTACATATGATAAAACCATTACAAGGTAAAACCATTGTCAGGCAGTGTGATGTTTGCCGGCAATATTATTTTAAAATTGAAAACTCAAACTCACACAGGCAATCTCATTTTTATTCTAAAATAACAACAATTGTGAACAGTTTCATTTTTTATTTTCAATTTTATTAGATTGTAAAATGATTGCAAACGTCAAAAAAAATCTTGACCAACGAAATGAGAGAATGATTTTACATTGTGATGATTTTATCAGGCTTATATCTACATATAAATATACATACCTTTTCTGCCCTCTGGAAATAGTCACGAAGGCAAACATATGTATGTATATATGTGGCTATCTATTGCTGCAGGGAGGCCACTGGTAAGAAATGAGGCTTGTCTCAAATGGTATGTTCCAGGCTTTATGAAACCATAATGAAGGCTTTATCTAATAGAAAGCTCGAGAGAAGACTACGCTAGCCAAAAAGCTTGATTGAGTGCAACGAGCCGCCCTCATTAGAATTATTGAGACTTTTGATATAACCAAAAGTGTGTTGCCACCAACTTCATTGCCTGTAAAATCGTCTAATATAAACATCGTGTAACTGACTCAGGATCTAGCTACTTTGTGTTTATGCACGTAGAGGCTTAAGCTTAATAGGGACAGCTTTTAACAGGGAAATCTCTATTAACCTTCAATTTGAGATTTTAGATTACTATAGTGTTTCTCAAGCGGAGGTAACTGCCATTAGGGAAGCAGTCGATTGGCCGCTGCAATGCGCGACATCTCACGTGAAATGTTTGGCCTAGTCAGGCCACAATGAGATTACAAAAAAGCCAGGAAAAGCACCCTCGAGAAGCGATATAGGGGGGTATCTTTCATGTGGACCACTCGTAAACACATAGTAATAACTCAGCGAACGCTTAGATATCATCTCTACACGCCTCTTTAACTGCTCAAAGTTTGCAAGACTGCGATTCAAACACCTTAACCCTCTCTCTGTGATCGACACCTGCAGCTTACTTTGCGCACATCGTTTCTCGAAATTTCTTAACAGTTACCGATCGTAGTGGTATCACAAAGGGTCAATTTTTACGATCCATGTAAGTGTACCCGTGTTTGTGGCAATCCCCTTAACCTAACCTAATCTCTGCTAACTTGGTGGTTAACGTCAATAGCGATGCCAGTTATGTTTACGACCTATGAATCAATGCTGTCACGTAATGTTAAAGAACCTTGCTGTTCCTTTTGCCAACTTTAATAGACACTTTGGTCCTTTGTATATTGCTGCATGTAGGCTCTGCCGCTGTACCTTGCCGAGTAACGCGAGTATGTGCCTGCTGAAGGACAAACGCTCGCAAATTATATGCTGCACGGTTCCCTCGTGATAGTTACATTTCGTACATTTTTGTATCTGTAAGACCTATCAGAAGCCTCGAGTCTGTTCATCGTGTTTCTAATTGTATGAATTACACATAATTCTTGCAAGTCTGCAACCCTGAGTTCATTCCAAAGCCTATCTGTTTGGGTATATAAGCAGATCTTGTGATATTTTGATCTGCCGAAGAGGATGCCCACTTTGGCTAGCGCGGCAGCTCTCCCATTTTCTTACACGCCCTTGTGTCCTGACACCCAATATACCATAGGTGCCGGTTTAGCCACAGCTGTAAGGTGTCCACGACAGAGATCGAATTTGTTTTATATGAAAGTAGAACCTTAATAGCCACCTGACTATCTATGTAAATGTTTATTTGCTCGCTTGTCTGATTAATTTCATGTAGTATTTCTGCGACTTCCTTTATGAAAAAGACATCGGCTTGATAGATCCTGCAATAATCTGGTTGCCTAACGGACCTATGATTTACAGGTTTACTACAATATACAGCATCCTACTGCTTCGTCTATCTTAGAACCGTCTGTGCGATGTGCGTTGCGTTCCCTTGCCACACCACGCTTTTTTCCCAACCAGCAATTTCTATTATAGCTTCTAGATACCCTTCGAAACTCAGACGCGGGATCACGTAGTCTATTCACCCTATATATTTTTTTTTGATTTTCATTTATGGGTGGGTAGATTTTTTTTACTTATTTGTGGTAGAGCTCAGGAAAAGTTCTTTCTATCAGCGGTAACTCTTCGACAGACAATGGTAAGGCTCCGTTCTTTCATTTGGGAGAAAGCATTAAAATGCACGGCAAAGTTAGAGAAAAAGCTTGACCCAACACTTAGCGAAAATATTCGCTTTAAATATTTGTTTTTGAAGCGAAACTTCTTTGCGATCGGTAGGGTGTAAATGCAAACATCGATGTAACGAAAAAGCGATATAGGAAGGAAAGCGGAGGTGGTTGGGCCCGATTAACGTTAAGATTAAGATTAAGAATAAGAATAAGACTAAAATTTGCTTAAAGATTAAAATTAAGATTAAGATAAAGTTCAAGATTAAGATGAATATTAAAGAAAAGGCAAGTTTCACTTCAGTGGTATCCACAAGAAACTTTTTTAATTTTCTAAATTTCAAATCGCTGGGTTTGCTTGAAGAACGCAATGGTCCAAAAAATTTGTCTAAGATAAGTATGAAGAAATTCATAAGGAGTATTATACCCTATTTCCACCGAGCCTTAACTGCAATTTATGCCTAATGGAAAAAGAAAACTTCAACTCGGAGGGGGTAATTCCACCTAATAAGTACAAGCAAGTGAAAAGGGGGGAAAAAAACAAACCTTGCCGATCACCCCATGTTAAAAGTCTTGTGACTTAACTGAGCTCTTTATTGCAGTTAAACCTTTGGTGGAAATAGGGAATGAACCTCAGATAGCGACTAGAATATAACAAAAATATTTTTGCCATTAAGCATTAGCAAATAGCTTAAAAATATAACATAAGTACATATAAACTATCTCACAATGAATTCAAAACTTTTATTATTCTTCGACAGGGTCCTATGGGTATGCGTGGTGATTCTGGACCAGTTGGTCCCTCAGGCAAAGCTGGTTTACCGGTAAGCATGCTTTTACTTTAAATGTCGGTCAGAACTCAAACAACTATTTCATTAGTAATATGCCACAAACCATTTGTGTTTCGCACCTTAAATTTGGTTTTAGAATAAATTCTTAAATTTATGTATTTCAAAATCAAAAACTACATATATTGTTATTTCGTTCTTCAACATACGCACTAATATTCTAACACAGCAAATTTTATGTTTCTAACAAAATGGTAAATCATAAATTTTGTGCTTCTTCTTCTTCTCTTTTTACATGCAACAGGTGTGGGGCTACTAATTCTAGACAAGCAAGCGAAAATATAAAAGAAAAGCAAACTAAAACTTAAATTAAAATGAAAATGAAAATGAAAATGAAAATGTAAACTGCAAATAACCGAATTAATGAAACGAAGCAAATGAAAAGCCAAAATGAAACCCGAAAATAAAGAAAATTTTTAATGAGGCGAACACAAACATACATTTATATGTACCCATGAATACAAATAAGCACACACACGGAATGCAATAATAAATAAGCAACACAACACATTCAATACATACAATACATATACATACATACATTCACTTATACTAGTTATATATATGTACATATGTATATTAAAGTTTCACACTAATCGCACACATATGACCAAATACTTAAACTACATACATATGTGCATACCTACAAACTAATGTAAGCCAAGACCTAAAGAACTTCGAGAGCAAATGTATGTCAAAAAACCAAATTACCACTACATAAATAGCAGTTGTGAAACTTCAAAATTATGCGAAAAGTCTTAATACTCAGCTTAGAAGTTGCAAATGCTTACTTTGAGAACTTTTAAATGCAGAAAATTCACTCCTTTGAGCAGAACAAAAAGTATTTACCAATAAAATCGAAAATCATGCTAAGGCTCATTGTTATTTGAAGTTGAAGCGAAATTAAATCAATAATAAAAAATAAAAAATAGTTGTACAATAGTTAGAGAAACAAAAAATTCACAAGTATTTATGTATCTGTGAAATTCAGCAGATAAAATAGCAAAGGCACAAACAATACTCACACTCTTGAATACGACTAAGATTGTAAATATTAAATGTGTATTTAAATATAGATACATATGTACATGTATGTACATATCTATGAAATCTATTTATCAATCGCAATTGGTATATTGACCTTCCCTCGTAAATGTACGGCAGAAGACGTTTTGCGTTCTGTCCAAGTTCAAACAATTTTTTGTACAATATTTTTAGGTAACCCTTTTTATCGTTTTTTAGTTTAACGGTTCATAAAATATAAAGAAAAATTACAGATCTACTTTTAATAAGAAAACTTTAATTTGTAAAAATAGAATGTCGATAATACTCTGAAAAATGGCTTATTAATCGATTTTGCTTAACACACATCTACGCAATTTGGGAGCGGATATGTATGTTATGAATGTTTGTTGAAACAACCCGTCATTTGATATGTCAGGATTTATTATTTTTTTATTAAATAAAATTTTCTGAAGTACATGAGAGCAATTTTTCGTCACGTCTCGCAAAAACAGATAGTAAATCATTTCACAAGGATGAAATAAGTTGATAGAGAAAATCATGTTCCATTGTAGCACCACAGTTTATCAACAAAGCGAGCTTTCTACTGTGTGATATTCTTATTTCATTTTATGTTAGCTTCGTAAATTTCGCCAAAAAAGCTGCAATTTTAATTTCACATGTAGAGCTTTGTTAGACGAAACAAAATGCATCCACTCTACTTTCTACATATCAATGATCCTCTGCAATAACGACACAATTCAAAATTGAAAAAATAAAAACCTTGACTACTGTTAAGTGCCCCATGTCTCTAAATCTTGTCTAATCCATATCCAATCCTTACTAAAGTAAGTATTAGGGATTGCTAAAGTAAGTAGTATATTCTTTGACTTTGTTCTGGTAGCGTTCCTACACATTAATTCAACAAAATTTCCATCAAAATATCCAAATTTTTTTTATGAATATATGTAGATGTTACCAGATAACTTGGGACTACGTGACTTCGTCTGAAATCTGGTTTGGTATCTCAATTCTGACGAAGCAAATTCAGACATCCGGCATACAGAGAACTTCTTCTCGTTCTGTCGAAAGCGGATTTAAAAATTAATAAAATATGGTTCTTTTCGATCTTCGTTCTCGCTGATGAGACTTGGTCAGTTCGTGAACAGTGGAATTTCAGCCTTTTACACAATGCGGTAGTGTGCAATGCTAAAAAGAGTGATGTTCTCCTCAATAACGCCACAATTAAAAAAATAAAAACCCTCACTACTGTTAAGTAGCTCATGTCTCTAATCCTTGTCTAATTCACATCTTATCCTTACTACTTACTTTAGTTGGACACTTTACAGTAGTAAGGGTGTTTTTCTTTTAACAGTGAGTTGTGTCGTTATCGCAGGAGACCATCGACGTGTACTTGTTCAGCTCAGATGGCAGACACTCTGCCCTTTCAGCTTTGTTATTTTTTAGTCACGTCGTAGGTCAGATATCACAAAATCGATTTTGTGATCGCCAGTGGTGAAATCCAGTAGGGTATACCCTCCATAGTTACAAGCGCGCTCTGGATATCTATCTGCAGTTCGACTTTTTCGTCTTGAAACATTCTATATGTTAGGTTACATCAATCTGGCTGGCTGTGCACCACGCATTTGCCGTGAAGGTCACTAACGGTACCAGGTGAAGATCGAACTTTAAGTATGCCTATGGTATAATTTTATTGACTTTAACCCTGGAAGTGCATTCTTATTTTTGTGTACGTAAACCACACACATTGTCTTCTCGTCGATTCAACGAAGAATGTGCGGTGAAAAGATTCCACGACTGTAGTGCCCAATAAGAAAGAGCTCCTGTTACCTTACTTTGGTTTTAAGCTCTGAGTAGCACCCAGGTATGTATTTTAGTCAACTTCTCTCTATCTCCGCACATAAGAATAGGAGGCGCTCCAGTGTTTTGCCTTTTTTGTTAATGCCGCTCGCATGATTTTTATTTTTTTTCTGTTTTTGGTTTTTCTTAACTACGAACAAGCCTCTGTGAAGTGCAAAACCAGAAAGAATCAAACGAGGAAAAAAGTGATTCAGGTTTAACATTTGAAGACACATTTATATAGTGGCTATAGCTAAGTGCGTAGAGATGCTTGCTGTTATCTGTTTATCCCGTCTGAGTCAACATGTTAAGATGATAATACAAATTTTTGTTTTGTATCTCCGAATTATGAAAAAGCATCTGCGAAGTGCAGAACATAAACTTATTCAAACGAAAGATCGACAATCAAAAGTTTGGTTAATGTAAACAAAATTGTGGTTAGTATTAGCAAATCAGTGTTGAAAATATCAACCACAGTATTGTTAATATTAACCGAAAATCACATTGATTCCTTTCAAGTTTGAATTTGGCAATATTAACCAGTTTTTGGTTAACTTTTCTCTCAGTGTATAGCGCTTGTTGGCCTCTTTACGGCAAGGTATTTCGGGTAGACTTTAAGAGTCAGTTCGGTGGCGCCCAGTTTTAGCGACTTCCTTGCAGACACTAACTAAGTTACTAGTTACTAATGATATCTACATAAATACTTTTCGATTCGATTAGTTTTGGATCCCACTAAACTCTTATTTTTTAGCAGCCTTATAGTATTTCTATATTCAGGTTCTATAACAGCGCTTTTTTACTCCATTAATGGAAATGATCGTGCTTGGAATTTTCTCCATACTCAAGCCGACTGGAATCCCTTTTAACAATAGCAGAGGAACTCTTTTTATTATCTCATTTGTCTATCAGTTTTATTAATTCTGATAAATATTCGCGTGCCATAAGCAAGCTAAAGAACCGTTTTAGGAAATCTTCTTAAAGCACAACATTTAAAAGTTGCCGTGATTATTAAAACGGGTGGTAACCAAAATGTCTCAGTTGTAGTAGTTTAAATAATTTTATGATAAAATATCTTTAAATTTACTTAACTTTAACAACTTTACTAAGCAACAACTACATATATGTACGTACTATAGAAATCTTACGACGAATTTTCAACATACAACGCAATAGTTCAAAATATGTTTTCTAAACCTCTAAACAAAATCGTTCATATCATTTATGCATTTAACTAACTGAAATATATCAGTATAGCTACTTAGTTATAAATGACCAACCGAGTATAAATATAAAACATAACTTATGTATGTATCTAAATACATACCTAGTGGCTCAAAAAAATCGTCACTTTTACTACATTTGGCCCATAGTAGCGTGAACATATTGATTTTACTGGGTGTTTTGATTTTTTTTTGTCGCACGGTGCATTTAGTAATAAGTTTTAACATTTCGAAGAAAATTAGAACAATTTTGTATATGTTCGACTTTAACCTTGAATATCTTTTTTAGGGATGACTTTATGTTATGGAAAAAATACTTATCGCTCATTTGGTGACTTAAAAACGAGATACATATAATGTTTAAAAATTAAAAAAATATGTCAAGTATTTTTTAAGTGGAAAATAAAAATTCGATTTGCAGGCGATCTTAACATTTAAGGGCTGCGCTTTTGACTAAGGCGTTTTTTCACTCTCGCGAAAATATTCTAAAGGGGATTTTGAAACAGGAGATTCTTTTTTAACCAGTCTAATGTCCACATATTCATATAAGTATTTACATTCAATAAAATTGTTACAACTTATGAGAACTACGTAAAGAGACAACCAAAATACAAAAATCACCAAACTCACTCACGGTCGGATTAAAAGTTAATCTTACAAAATTATTAAGTCAAAGATATTGCGCACCGTATGTCCAATTCAACTAGTAATTCGAACACTTGCAGTTAAAACAAGAAAAATTAAAGTATGATTTGACACTCAGTGACCCATAGTGACCATAAAATTCATCTACAAAACGTGTATTTTTCAAAAGCTGCACTGAAAAAGGGCTTTTTACGATTTTCCCGCTTACCCGTCACATTTGTAGATTAATTAATTGTGTAAACTCGCATG